AGATGAATTCTCCAAAGTATCTTGTAGATCATTGGTAAGCAATTTAAGACATGTCTTAATTAGACCAGAAAGTAATTTAGGCGTGAGTTATTCACATAGAAGAAATTATATTATTACTGCAAATACCCATTTCTACACATGTTGAGTTTCTGATGTGGCATAGACAGAGAACATGGATGGGCCCAGGTATAACAAGTCATCACATGGTAGACAATACCATTTCTCATATTCAGAGAACCCTTTTAATGGGTTCTCTCAGTGTGAAAGATCATGCCTTTATCTTCTGTGAGATAATCTTCTGTGAGATAAAGGCATGTCAAGATAAACAAAACCAAAAAAAAATGAGATAATTCTTTGCTAGCAGAGCGGCCTTATATGAAACGTTAAAGGAAGTTTCTCAGGGTGAAAACAATTGACATGGATGTTAATTTAAATTAAAAAAAAAAATGAAGAGCACAAATAAATGTCATCATGACTTCTTTTCCATTTTTAAGAATAGTTTCCTTTAGTTTTTTAAACATTGATTTTAGCTCTTTTTCATTAGATATTCAGTTTAGAGGTTTGTAAAATTTTATAGTGACTATAAATTGAGTGTAGAATTGTTTAGCAGCATATTTCTTCCTTTACATAAGGATGAAAAACCAGGTGAGTTTGCTCTATGTTTTATTACAATGGGACTTCACCAGAGGAGAATTTATCATTTCAAATGTCACATAGTAAATTGCATTTCTTACCTTAAGAATATTGAATACTATATTATGCAAGCAGTTTTTAAGTAATATCTTCTGTGGTTCAAGTTCATTAGTTACGGCAGAAATTATCAGTAGGTACATAGGGCAGAACCCACTGGTTGCCTTTCAAGAGCCATTCCCCCTTTCTTAGATGATCACAGGACTCTTTCCTTCAAGGGTGAGGAGGCGAAGTGCCCAGGGAATGTGGGGCTGTCTCTTGGAACCCTACACATGAAGGATTATTGGTTTCAGAATCAATGGTAATCCTCTGCGATTTTGTTGAAACTGGTTTAGGAAGGCGCACGTGACCTGGTTTTGGCCAGTGTGACCGGAAAGAACATTTGTGGTTTCTGGAAAGTATTTCTCATCTGCAGAAACATAGACAAATATGATTTTTTTCCCTTTCTTGCTTTCAGACATCATTATTTGTGAATATGAATGCTAGCATTTGCTTGTGATCATGAGGGGGACTTGTACCACCACTGATAATGGCAGAGGAGAAAAGCAAAGAAGAGCCTGAGTTCCAGTTAATGACGTTGAGCTGATGAATCAATTCTAAAACCACCTACATCTGGAGTTATTATAAATTGACATAATTTACTAAAATCTCATTTAATTCATATTTAATAAAGCATTTTATTACTTGCAGCCCAAAATTCCTTGAGTGATTCAGTAGAGTATTACCAAGCTTGTTCTTTTTTATTCTCTTCTCTTTCAATTCTGGTCCAAGGTAGACTAGAATAATTACTTCTAAGTTTTTTTAAATCAATTTTTTACTTTCTTCACATTTTATCTCTTAATATAAACTGCCATCAATTGAGATTTATCTGTGTGGGATTTATAATGACAGGCAAAAAAAAGTAACAGGAAACAGATAAGCCTTGAAATCAGCAGACTTGGAGTTAGGTGCTGGGAACACCACACATTTGCTCTATGTTTTACTAAGCAATTAACTTCATTTTTTCAACTGAGCATACTCAGTAGTAAAAATGGGATAATAATACTCATTGTGAACATTGGTGATTATGAATACAGGTAATTTGACACCAAACCGAAAACATATTTGGCACTCAATAATCATTCTAATAATAATAATCCTTAATATTTATATATTATAATATTATATAGCACTGCCTATTTTGCCAAGAATTTTCATATACATTACCTTTGATTCTAATATCTGTATATATACATGTATACATGTATAATATATATATAATAGGTGTACATACATATATGTATATGTATATTCTAACATATTTCTGTATATGGTAGAGTTCCAGCCCCATTCTCTGGGTCTTTTTCAGTGGGTTTGCCTCTCTCATATACAATTAAAATAATTCATGTGCTTTTATTTCTGTGAGCATCAGGACACAGGACAAAAATTCACAAGAGCAGCCTTGAAGTGTGAGCGTGCCTTGATTACTTAATGTATGTACATGGCAGATTTTTCCTACTATGGATAACATTTTATCCTCATAGCAACTCTGTGTGTTAGGTATCTTATTTTATTGATCACATATGGATTCCAAACTTTGGCTTTGAAGATGAATGATATTTCTGAAGTCATAGAGCTAGTATATCACATAATGAATACTTGAGTCCAAACCTACCTTTCAAACATAAGATCTTTGCTATACTATGCTTCCTTGTCATTCTGGAGGAGGTAGGTTAATTCCTCAGTGATTATCTTGACAAATAGCTGCACTTAGGTTGTATTCATATCAGCATTATTAAAGTAATTGTATTCTCAAATGTGGTTACTGATTTTTACTTTTGTGAATATATTCTTATAATATCAATGACATACTAAATATTGCTGACATACTGAATGAATACTGAATCCTCCTTCCACTTTTAGCTTAAAAAAATTATATGAGACGCTGTTAGGAAGATAAAATTAAAAATCGTTTGTTAACCATGGTTTAGCAAGCTACCATCCCCCAGGTTGTCTTGCCAGTCTTTAGCGCATTGTTTTTAAATTTTGAATGTAGCTCTCAATTCCCAAGTGCCCTCAACACAACAAGTATCACTGAGCTGCTATCATGGCAGCCCCAGCTTTGACACCTAGTTCTCGATAGGCCATCAAGAATTGTCCTGTCTCTTACATCCACAGAGCTCGCAGCTCTCCACTATGAACTCTATGAACTCTATGATTCCTCAGTGTCTTATTTTCAGGAAGTCTCTGCTTTGACCTTTGACAATTTCTGAGCTCCTCGGGGACTAGCAACTTATTTTATGCAGCTTTATCCTGAACTAAACAAGAATACAAAAGGAAAACTTGTATATAATACAAATTATGTTGTGCATTCCAAAGTGTACCTGGCATAGTTTTGGAACTGATCTTCTTATCACTTCAGTTATAGTATGCTCATGCACAGTTGATCTCCTTAAATATTCTACTCACTTCTATCACTGTCCTCTATTAGAATAATAGAGTACTTGGTAGTCATGGCCAGAAAGGATCTGGGGGCAATGTCAGGATTTGGGATTTCTGTGCTACGTGACACAAGGAAATATGTGACAATCTTGAAATGTTAATTTCAACTATTCTAGAAAGTATAGTGGTGACTTGTGTGCAAATATTTAAGATTTTTTTAAAATCCCAAGTTCCTGAAATTTAATAAAGTATTTTTATTAATTAAAAATATTAAACATAAAAAGCTTAAAATTTCATAGAACACTTCAAAGATTATTAAAACCATTGTTCTTAATATGAATATAAAAGCCTTATTTACATTGAAAAAACAAGCTTTGATGAATGTAGAAAATTGGTCATTGGCAGAAATTGATCACTTGAGTAATTGCTTTGTAGTTAATTGGCAATTTAGGAAGCTGGGTTTTATGAATTGATTTTCAATGAATTAACCTAACATCCACACAATGAATAAAACAATTACTTATTGAGACCTTTGTGCCTGATTCAGATGATACTCTTACTTTACTACATTTCAATGAGGAATTGGTATAAATATCTAAAGTTCTAAGAGAAATATTTAGAGGTGTCTTATCATTATTCTCTCAACCTCAAGAACGGTGTCTACAACACAGCAGGTGGCCGGTGTTTATTTGTTTTTTTAATTTACAAATCAACCAATGAAAAGCAAATTCAGTTTATACACTTGAAAAAATCATATTATGTGAAATTTAAAGCAATTGAAAATATCCTTTTTTTTTAGTGGGGCAATGAGTAAGATATCAAATAACTTGATAATTTTATTATTTTATAAAATACGGTTTTTGATTTTTCATTCTACTTCAAACGTTTGCTACTTTATACTACCACACTTCACGTATTTTTTTGGAATAAAAGTTGCCCTTAGAAAATCCACCCCATATCTTTAAATTAAAGGCAACAAATTTGGGTCAACTTCACCTTAATCCAAATCCTCTAATGAATATACTTAATACCCATTTTAAAAGGTATTTTGAAAAGGTAAATTATTCTTCTAAATTGGCACAGGCCATTGATGAAAACATTATTGTGAGTTTCTGCCTCATATTCTAAAATAAGCAAAACTTAAATAAAAAGGCATACAGGATCTAATTAACATAATACAACGTTTTCAAAGAATTTTTGAAAAAATACATGAATAGAAAAACAAGAGAGGCTAATGTTTTTCCGAAAATCCTTCTCTTACCCTGTTACTCTAGTGAGCATTTTTTTCTCCCTGATGATTTTTTACAACTTGCTCAATTGTTATTTCCAGGAACTAGATCCAGGTTTAGATTACTGATAAACAATGAGACCTATGCTTCTGGAATTTTTGACACTCAAAAGAATCAATTTCAGTCTAGAGTGGGTCTATAAATTATATATAAATATATATAAATAAATATTATATATAAATATATATTTATATATACATATATAAATATATATGTATATATAAATATATATATATTCCTGTTGTTTTTCACATTTTGCTTTGTAATATGTAGAAGAAACCCATTAAAAAGCAAAGATCATTTTATGGAAACATATGGAGACAGAATATTTCACTCTAACAGAGACTAAAAGATCACCTGCACAAATCCATCATTTTACAATGAAGAAATTGAGCCACAGCGATAAAAAGGACATTAAACTTTCTTGAGCATCTACTTACATGTCCTTGCACTTTGCATATGCTTTTCACATTAAATTTATTCTCCTCAATAAGTTTATCAGATTGGTACAGAATTACAATAGCAATTTATAGGTGAAGAAACTGGCACTAGAATGATTAAATAACTCACTCAAGTGATGTAACTAGGATTTGGGTGTTATTTACCTAAATAGTTTTGTAGCTTTCTTGCATTGCCAATGTTTCTGATTGCACTTCAATGGAAGAGTCTCTCTGTGTTTGGTGGAGGAGTCCACAGGAACAGGGTCTGTTTGGAGAGCTGCAGGGAGATGTGCAGTAGGAGCTGAAAGAATAAGAGTAGAAAGTGGGCCCGGTGGAAATAAAATACATTTAGAGAACTACAGTCCACACATTTGGAAATTATAGTCTATAATCTTTTCTTGAGGGTCAGAAACTGATCTATCCTGAAAATACGATGATTGCCTCAAGACTGTCATCATGTTTTCTACATGAATTCCATAGGACTGTTAGAGAGCCATTGAGCTATTCTAGAGCCTCTGTGTATTTTAGTGTTTATCCACACCAGCCACTGTGCTGCTGCTTTATATATTATGATATCACTGGATCTTCAAAATAGTGCTGTTTTGTTTCACTTTATTTTTTAAATTTTATTTTGAATTGTAAAATAAAAAATGTGTATGTTTATCAAGTATTACATGTTGTTTCAAAATATATATGCATTGTGGAATGGCTAAATAGAATAGCACTATTCTAGAAATCATGATTGCTATTATTAGCGAAATTATCATTACTACTCCCCAAGTGAAGAAACCGAGGTTCAGTAGGGTTAAGCAACCTTTGTGGGGTCATGCCACAAAATTGACAGAAGCAAGATTCAGGTCGTGTTCTCTGGCTCCATCACCTACACAGTGACTTTGCCCCTCACTCAGAAAGACTGCCTGTGACTTACTATAGTTTGATTTTTATCATTCTTCTTTGAAACTTTAAAAACAAATTGAAAAAATCTTATGTCTTTCATTTTTTTGGTATTTAATAGACATCAACATATCTGAGGCAATGAATGTAGATGTCGCCAGTTGACAGGCTTTCAGCTGGGTCATTTTCTTCTTTTTTTTAAAATTAATTAATTTATTTACTTATTGAGACGGAGTCTCGCTCTTTTGCCAGGCTGGATGGAGTGCAGTGGCAGATCTCGGATCACTGCAACCTCTGCCTCCCCAGTTCAAGCGATTCCCCTGCCTCAGCTTCCTGCGTAGCTGGGACTACAGGCGTGTGCCACCATGCCAGGGTAATTATGTTGTTGTTGTTTTGTTTTGTTTTTTGTATTTTAGTAGAGATGGGGTTTCACCATGTTGGCCAGGATGGTCTCAACCTCCTGACCTCGTGATCCGTCCACCTCGGCCTCCCAGAGTGCTGAGATTACAGGCATGAGCCACCGCGACGGCGTCAGCTCACCCATTTTCTAACACATTATTTTATACCCCTCTTATGATAATAAGGTCTTTGTTTTTCCTTTACCAATATCAAAAATCATTTGAGTCAGGAGATCGAGACCATCCTGGCTAACACGGTAAAACTCCGTCTCTACTAAAAATACAAAAAATAAAAATAAAAAATAAAAAATAAAAAATGGGCGTGGTGGCAGGCGCCTGCAAGTTCCAGCTAATCCGGAGGCTGAGGCAGGAGAATGGCGTGAACCCAGGAGGCGGAGCTTGCAGTTAGCCCAGATTGCGCCACTGCACTCCGGCCTGGGTGATAGAGCAAGACTCCGTCTCAAATAAAAATAAATAAATAAATAAATAAAAATAATAATAGATAGCAGTAAGCCTAATTTAAGACATTAAATGATATTTTGTAATACATAAAGCTATCATGTAGCCAAAAAAGTTATTAATTTTTAAATTTATTTTAAAATTATGTATTTCTAGAAATGTTCAGGTGTGAAATAGAATACCTCAAATCTCCATCAGATGTCAGATCAGATTGAAAATTTTAAAGATGTTTTTAAATATATTTCTGGGTTTGGTTCTTGCAGATGCTATTGTTTGGAAATAAATCTAAGAAAACAGAGCCTAACACTTTGAGCCAAATTCCTCCCATGCTCCATTCCCACCCATGTTTCCACCCTTTTTATGTTCTTCATGGAATTGTCTCCTTTCTACTCTGAAATTACAGAGCTGCCTCTCTTTAGATGTTTCTGTTTTTACTCATAAACCTGAAAATTATCTTGTGATATCAACACCCCAATGCTAACTGAAGAGGGGAATGGTTGAAATAGCAAACTTCAACATAATTGCTGCCACTGCTGTTTATTGTCCAAGTAGGTGTTTCTTTTTCAAAATAAAGAAATGAAAACAAAGTGGTTTATTATTCTCAGTCGTAAATTGGCAGTGGACAGTAAGGTTGCATTTTCTCTTGTGTTAGCAATTGATCTTATGTGCACTGATTTATATATGAAAATGTTCCTGCTACCTAAGAAAAATGAGTTCTCATTATATAAATGAGTTTATTAAAACCCTACTGCCTTAGGCAAGTTGGCAGTTTTTTATGAATCTCCAAATTTAAACATCTCTAAAATAAGAAATGACAAAACATCTACAAGAGATGCTCCAGCTTATCCTGGCCCCAGATTAATTGACTCTCTTCAATGCTTTCGGGAATTATGAATATTAAGCAGCATATCTAACTCATTGATACTCAGATCATGTCTCTCTTTTACCAGCCTATGAGGGACAGAAAATATAATATGACTTCTGGGTAGTGTCCTACTGGTTGCTCACACAGATTGATTTCCTCCTTGAATCTGAGATTAGTTTTACCATAAGACTTGAATATTTTACTGAGGTTGGGGGTTAGGAAAACAGGGGGTCAGTCATTCTTACTATCTTGTGTTGGGTGACATAAAATCATCCAACAGGTGAGACATGGGAGATACTTCTATTATATCTTACTGCAGTGAGTAATTATCATTGATGAATAACAGACACTGATTTGAAAAGCACTCACCTTTCCACAGCCAGTAGGACCTTAACAATTAAGAAAATGTTTTCATAATATAGATATAGATATAGATATAGTTATATATATAAATATATATACATAAATATATATATATCAGCGAAGGAGACAGCTTTGACTATGAAAAATATGATTAGCTTCCAAGCCATGTAAATGTGGATTTGCTCTGAGCCTTTGAGTATCAGGAACTTGAAGCTGAAACACTTCTAGAGATCATCTAGAATTCCTAATGTTATATATGAATCTTCTCTAGGGTACTCTGGTCAATGGTTGTTCAAAATACACTTGAGTACCTCTGGAGACAGGTAGCCACACCCAGGATAGCTCATTTCATATTGGATAACTCTTAAAATTATATTGATCAAAATATTTATATGATATACTTTTGGATTTTATGTTTTAGCTTACTTCCTATAATTTAAAAATAGTAATCACTGACTGTTCTTTCTTCTCCTGGCGGAACATCCCAAGTTGCATCAACCATTGTGTTTGTGTGTGTGTGTGTGTTTGTGTATGTGTATGTGTGCGTGAATTTCTTTTTACCCTCCAGTATATCTGTGTTTCTTTTTTTAATCCCTTTTTTGGCTTGTTGATATTTATGAGGATCATTTTAAATTTTGCTTTATAATGGGATGTTTTTTAGTAGGGAGGATTTCTGTCAGTATCACAAATAACCAGTGAGTGTCGCTGTTTTAACACAGACAAACACTTGTGGGCCTGTCATATAATGATCAACAACATTCTTGCATAAGCCATAAGCACTTGTAATTATGCGGAACACAGGCAGTGGGCTGAACGAATCAAGGGTCCTCTTAATCCACCCACATTAGCTAATGTAGACATTTCAGACAGATTTACTGGTGCCTTTTTATTGTCACTAGTCTACTTTAGTTTTCCAAGATGATAATTCTTTTTGTTCTCCCTTCGAAATAAAAGACTGCTCATTTTCCCCAAAATGCTCTTCCTACAACTCAACTTGTATAGTTTGTAAACAACTTTTTCTCTTGATTTCAATCATTCATTCAGTGGGTTACTGCTACAAAGGAAAACGCAATAATTCTGAGTATCCATCTGTACCAAGTTTCCTTCTAAGAACTCCATGTGTATCATTTCTTTTAACACCCCAACAATGCAATGAGAGAGTCATTATTCGTGCCATTGTTTATATCAGGGAAAGGAGGCTGAGGAAGTTAAATGACTTGACTCTGGGTGACATAATCAGTAAGTAACATATCTGACATGAGAAGCCAAGACCATCTGACACCACAGCCCCATTCTTTCCACTACACCCTCCTTCCTATCTGCAGGTGGTGCCTGCAAAAACGAGGAGCATGGAAACTAGTATCTCAATCCTTAAACATGTTGGGATTTCAACAGAATCAGTAGATAACATTTTTATCTTCTCTATCAGGATTCTCAGAAAATATTTGAGAAAAAGAATGCTAGAAATAGAGACAGAGATCAAAACGTCAATTGTGAATTGATGTAAGCTGGAAAATAGGACTTAGATATGTGGCCAAAGGAGCTTGCCCAAATTTCTCTCCTCATCCTCAATCTAATAACTACCCACCCAGTAACTGGCACAACCAGGGGATCCCAGGGCACCCCACACAGGGATGGATCACATACCATGTGACAGGAGAGAGAAAACAGGCCAAAATGGAGAGGAAAAAATAAATTGCTGAACCAATCTTTCCTAGACATTTTTTAAGCTAAAAAATCATATAATCCAGATAAACTAGAATTTTTCCCCAACAGAAGTCCCTACACATGGAAGTATGAGGGGTATGGAATAACTGTTCACTGAAAGAGTTGTGTTTTCAATATTTGCAATGCCAAGCAGGATTATTTCAGGCCTTGGAGGGCTTGTTTTCATATAATTATTCTGAGTAATTAACCTTTTACTCTGAGTAAAGTGGGACTTCACTGAATGAAGGAAGCCCTTTAAACAAAGGAGTTGTATTAGCTGAATTTCATGTTAATATCACCTGACTCATGTCTACTCATTTCCAAACCCAAACCTACCATCATTTTGGGCAATGGAGACAGATCATTTGTCTTTGGCAAGACCAAGATCATTTAGGAGATGTATGATAGATGATGGCAGTGGAGATGGTGAGAAGTCATGGTTAGATTTCGGACATATTTGAAAGTAGATTGAATGAGGGTTATGAGATAAAAAGAGTCAAGATTTTTGGCCCCAAGCTTTTCTCCATCAATTGAAATGACAAAATAATGACTGAATATGGTCTGGCAGCGAAGATCAGAGAGATTATTTGGGAATGTTGACTTTGGACTTGATTC